TTTGTTTGAGACCATAAAGACTTTTTTTAAGAAGATAAGTCCCATCAGGAAGATCAGATTCAAAACCTGGAATAGCAGAAATATAAACTTTTTCTTCTAAATCTGCATGAAGGTATGCAGTATTCACATCAAAATGTTTGACTTTTAAATTTCTATTACTGGCAATTGCAAGGGTTATTTTTAGTGCTTCACCAGATACTGTGGGGCTAAATATCTCATTAAAATTTTCTCCATATATCTGTTCAAAACCTCTAGCAACTAATCTGGCTTTGTACAAATAACCACCATCCTTTGTTTGTTTACGTCTATACACCCAACGACAACTTAGAACTTTTGCATTATCAACTGTTTTAGATTTCTCCATAACTTGCAAATCTTTCAAAGAATCAAATTCACTTTGCATTGCTTTTAACCAAAGCTTTCTTTCAGTCTCTTCTCTATTCAACATCTCTTTATAACTTTGAGGTTCAGACCAGTCATGGTCTGGTACTTTCACAACTTCACAATGATATCTCTTTGGAGGTATACCCTTAGTTATCCTAGAACTACGTCTAGGAATGGTCCTAGTACTATCTCCTCCATCAGTCTCATCAGTCTCTGAATTACTAGAGCTAGTACTTTGTGAACTAGAGGATTCAGCTTCAGCTTTTCTCTTCTGAGATTCTGTCCTTTTAATTACAGGACTACTGCTTTGTAACTGACTAGAAACAGATTCTTGCTTCACTTGCACTTGTGAACCAAAATGTGTATCATGAGATGTGCTTGGTTGTATATCTTGCTGTGCAGACTGTTGTGAAACTGATTGCACTTGTGTAGCAGGTTGCTGTGAAACTTGTTGTGTAGTTGGCTGTGTGGTTAGTGGTGTATGCATTTGAGTAGTGTTAAAAGGCAGAAACACTTCTTTATTTGAATGAATCCTATCCCAACCACTGTGTTGTTGAAACTTTACACTTTTAGAAACTAACACCCTATTATTACCACACCAAAATCTCCAACCTTTTGACTCAGAAGCAGGGCCTAGATATTTCAATTTCTTCCAAATAGAATCCTTCTTATGTCTTTGTTGAGAAGGAATTAAGACATATGAGTCACTTCCAAAAACTCTGATTGAACTCAAATCAGGAGTTTTCCCAAAAAACAATAAATAAGGAATACTATTGACACTTTTGCAAAAAGAACGATTGAGCACAAAAGTAGCATTTGCCACAGCTTCAGCCCACAAACCATCAGATAAATTAGCATCTCTTAACATTTTTCTAGCTACAATTTTTAGAACACCTATCCACCTTTCTGCAACCCCATTTTCACTAGGTGAGTAAGGATTTGTTAACCTGTGAACTATGCCAAACTTTTCAAGCAAATGTTTCATTTGTTTGGACATAAACTCTGCACCACGATCACTTTGAAAAGCCTGTACTGGATACTCAGGAAACTGTGTTTGCATTAGCTTCAGCCAAGCAGAAATTTTCTGAAAAACTTCACCTTTAGTTCTTAGAAAGAAGGTGAATTTCAACCTAGAAAAATCATCCACCAAAATCAAAAAATATTTTGACCCGCCTACAGAAGTAGGATGAGGACCAGATACATCAATATGTATAAGCTCTAAGATCCTTTTTGAAACTCTAGCACTGTATTTTGCTATAGGAGCTTTCTTAAGATTTTCTGCTGCACAAATTTCACAATCTAGAAAATTTTTACATCCTTGAATAGGAATTTTACACAACTCAGCTGTTTGTCTTAGATACTGCCATGACAAATGACCCATTTTCCTGTGAAATTCATGAATACATTTGTCGTGTAATGGCCTGGGATTATCAGGTATCTGCTTAATGCAAGCTGACACATTTTTAGCAGACTTTAAAACAAAAAATCCCTTCTCTTGTCTCAGCTGTACTTCATTACCTTGAAAGTCAATTAACTTAGACTTATTCTTCTTCAAAGAAATCTCAAAATCTTCATCTAGAAGTTTGTTAACACTGAGAATATTATACATAATATTGGGTACATAGTACACATTCTCAAGAGTACATTTCAGACTGTCAATATAAAGATCACCACAAGAAAATACTTTAACTTTTCTATCATCAGCTAAAGAAATAAAATTTATATTAGAGTCTCTCACATTTGTCAACAGTTCTTTAGTTTTTACCAAATGCTGAGAACAGCCTGAATCTATAATAAAAGAGTTCATTATATCCTTCTTAGAGGTCACCAGGAAAGCATGCTGTAAGTCCTTTGAAGAACTAGGTCTTTCCACTTGCTTGTTTCTCCATTGTCCTTGATTCTGTTTGCAATTCTTAGCATAATGCCCTTTCTTTTTACATTTAAAGCACACAATTTGCGATTTTGGCTTAGCAACACAAGCAGTGTCATTAGAAGCAGTCCCAGAACTTGAACTTTTCTGTATAGGAGCAAAACTCCTCAATTTGCGTTGAGCCTCAAATTCCATAATTTTTCCTGAAATAAAAGGTATCGTGAGATCCCTGTCAGGAATTCCATGAAGAGAGTCCATGAACGCATAAAAAGGGCGAGATAGAGATCCCATCAAGATTAACGCTTGTTGCTCAGGGGGAAAAATAATGTCTCTTGCTCTCAACTCCGAAAAAAGAGCCACAACTCTTGTAACATGAGTTTGAACTGGAGAGCCCTCCTCATGTTTGAGGTTAAACAGCTGCCTCATAAGAATTATCTTCGAACCGCTTGATTGTCTCTGAAACATATCTTTAAACAAATTCCACGCAGTTTGCGCATGCAGAATATTATGAAGATGCACCAACAAAGAATCTGACACAGACAATTGAAGAAGTGCCAAAGCTCTTTCATCTTTATGTTGATCCGCAGGAGTTAATTGAGCTGGCAAGTTCTCAATTATATCCCATAAATTCTGAGAAACAAGAAAAGCTTTAAATCTGACGCTCCAACTGAGCCAGTTACTTTCAGAAAGTTTATCAAAAGGGAGTGAACCAACTTGAAGAGGCGGCAAAGCCATTGTGGTATTTCACTTTAAAGTCCCAAAAAGTCCAGAAACAAAAATACTCACTGCACCAAAAGAAAAGACCCCCAGTACACCCGGGTTTAAGCTCAGCCAATTTATATTCACTACTTCAAGTAAAATTGGCTTCTAGCAGTCCAATATCTTTGCAGTAATTCTCTGGAATCCAAACACAGGGTCTGACACACAAACTGTTTTCTTCTTCTTTAGGCTTCTGAAACTTTTGTTGAAAACACCTCTGTGCAAGGCAAGACAGGAAAGCAACTTAGTTGGCCCTTGCTGCTCAGGCACGTAGAAGGCAAATTTTCCAACATAGCAAGCCATAAATCTTCTTGATTTCTCTGAAGGCAAATCCTCCAAGGTTTAGTGTACAGCAGCAAGCCATCACTTTAAACCTCACTGCTGATCAAAACAGCCAGGAACAGAAGATTCCAACAAAAAATGCCTTCAAAAACTTCTTAATGTTCCACCACATATTTACCTCAGACATGCGCATTATGCAGCGTTCTGGGCCCATAACCTGTTAGCAGAGTCTTTCTTTATTATAAATTCATAGTGGAAAACATCAAAAGTAAGAAAACAAACATCTTGCATCAGATATCAGACCCTAAACAAAACATTTAGAGTCCCAAACTCCAAAACGCCATAGCTTCTCCAAAAGCTCAAGGCTATAGCAATAGCAGAACGCTGAGGGACGCTGAAAGCTGCTGAAGGCTGCTGCTGGCTGCAGGCAGATGCAACACATTATAACCACAGTAATTAGATCCACCTGCACCCAATTAACCAAAACCACATCACAAGCATTTCAGCAATTAAAGATACAAACTTACTTATACATACATAACCCAAATACATACAATGAACAGATAAAATTTTGCACATTTTTACAGTTCTCCTGACAATAATAATTGTAATAATTTTTTTACTTATATCCCACCTTTCTCCCAATAACCAAAAAGGATATTAAATGATAACAACAACAACAATAATAATAAGGGTACTCCACATATTTAAAACCCAAAATAATATATCAATTTTAGACGTAATAATAATGTTGTTATTATGTATATACACACACACACACACACACACATAATATAATTGTAATAAAACCTTTTCCCCAATAACCAAAAAGGATATTATTAAATAATAATAATAATAAATGAATGAATGAATGAATAATAATAAAAAGAAAAAATAAATAATAAAGAAGGCTCTCCGTGGACAGTTTCTGGAAAAAATTGAGAGTCAAACTGACAAAGAAAAAACATGGCTGTGGCTCACAAATGGAACTTTGAAAAAGGAGATGGAGGGCCTGATTCTGGCAGCCCAAGAACAAGCCATTAGAACCAATGCCATCAAAGCCAGAATTGAAAACTTAACGACAGATCCCAAGTGTAGACTCTGCAAGGAAGCAGATGAAACAATAGATCACATCCTCAGCTGCTGCAAGAAGATTGCACAGACAGACTACAAGCAGAGGCATAACACCATTGCTCAGATGATTCATTGGAACTTGTGCGTCAAATACCATCTGCCTGCAACAAAGAATTGGTGGGATCACAAGCCTGAAAAAGTTACGGAAAATGAACACGTCAAACTCCTCTAGGACTTCCGGATTCAGACTGACAGAATTTTGGAGCACAATATTCCTGACCTCACAATCGTCAATGTTGCAATCCCAGGCGACAGCAGGATTGAAGGGAAACAACTGGAAAAGCTGACACAATATGAGGATTTAAAAATCAAACTGCAAAGACAAGTCAAGGCAGTCCCAGTGGTGCCAGTCAAGGCAGTCCCAGTGGTGACTGGCACACTGGGTGCAGTGCCTAAAGACCTTGGCCTGCACTTAAACACAACCAGCGCTGACGAAATTACAATCTGTCAGCTGCAAACGGCCATCCTACACGGATCTGCACACATTTGCCGATACAGCACACATACACACACACACACGCATACATCATAAAATAAAATGTAAATATAAATAAAAGATCCAGACAGAAAGTAGCTAAGAAAAATCCATGTTTATTGAAATACTGGAGAATAACAAAAAGGAAGACATAATAACAACTGGAAAGAGATTGGTGGGAATAATTCAAACCCGGAAGCCATTTTGAATATATTCATTTTTTTTCTTTATCTCCGCTTCTGGAAAATGTTTCCACGTCCCATTCCGCGCCCTCTTCCTCTGGCTGCCACTGGAATAAAATAAAATGTATTATTTAAATATATGCAAATACTCTGTCTCATTTGCATGTTAATTTGCCTAAGGGGAATGAAGAGTTTTGGGAAAGCAGAATATATGGAAAACAAAAATATAATAATAATAATAATAATAATAATAATAATAATAATAATAATAATTGTTGTTGTTGTTGTTCATTCGTTCAGTTGTCTCCAACTCTTCGTGACCTCATGGACCAGCCCACGCCAGAGCTCCCTGTCCTTGCAAAAAAACATATTATCATTGCATTATTACAATTATCTATTCATATCTTTTTATATATTCAATTATTGTTACATTTTATTGTTCTTTAGATATTATATTATCATATATGATTGAATAATAATAATAATATGCAAGCATATATGATAATAATATAATATCTAAAGAACAATAAATTGTAACAATAATTGAATATATAAAAAGATATGAATTATATTATTATCATATATGATTGAATAATAATAATATGCAATCATATATGATAATAATATAATATCTAAAGAACAATAAAATGTAACAATAATTGAATATATAAAAAGATATGAATAGATAATTGTAATAATGCAATGATAATATGTTTTTTTGGTCGTGTCAGGAGCGACTTGAGAAACTGCAAGTTGCTTCTGGTGTGAGAGAATTGGCTGTCTGCAAGGACGTTGCCCAAGGGACGCCCAGATGTTTTGATGTGTTACCATCCTTGTGGGATGCTTCTCTCATGTCCCCACATGAGGAGCTGGAGCTGATAGAGGGAGCTCATCTGCGCTCTCCCCGGATTCGAACCCGCAACCTATCGGTCTGCAGTCCTGTCAGCACAGGGGTTTAACCCACTGCGCCAAAAATAGTCTAATATATAAAAATAATAAATAAAATGTAATATTATCTATAATAATATGATATAATATAATGACGACATAATAATATATATAACACAGTATCATGTAATAATATATTCTAATAAGATTTAATATACTAATATAATGTATGAAAATAATAAAGTAACAAAATGTAATAATAATCTAAATATAATAATCTAATATAATAATATGTAATAATATAATTGTAATTGTTGTAATTGTTATTTTTGGAATTTGTTTGTTGAATTGCTGCTGGCTGTGAGGCTGCCCTGAGTCCCCTTAGGGGTGAAAAGGGTGGAGTACAAGTATGGAAAATAAATAAATAATATGTAATACCTGCAAATATAAATATAAATAATAACAATAACATAACAATAATAAATATAATACATTATTATTACCTGAAAATAACAATATATAAAAACTATAATATAATACATAAAATGAATATAATACATCATTATTACCTGATAATATATAATCACAATCATATAATAATATATAACAATAAATATAATAGTAAACATATCATTACCTGAAAATAATAAAAATATAACAATAAAATAAATACATCATTATTATTTACCTGCAAATAACAATCTATAGTAATTATAATACTATAATAAGAATACATAACAATAATAAATATAATACTAATAAATGTAATAAATTCCTCCTCATTACCTGAAAATAATTATAAAAAAAATAAATATAGTAGTATAATATAACAATGTAATAATATAAATGTAACATCAATATAATAATATCACAATAACATAATATAGAACAATAATAAATATAATAGTAATAACTATAATATAATACACTATCTGTAATAAAAATACACATTTTTTATTTCCTGAAAACAATAATATATAATAATCACAATATTAAATAATAATAAAAACAATAATAAATATTATAGTAAATACATAATCATGATTACATGAAAATAATAACAATATATAATAATAATAATAATAATAATATTAATAATATAACAATAAAATAGTAATTTGAAATATTATTGTGCTGGTCATGGACCATAATAAAGTGTTGTTGTTTGAAATATAATAATAATAATAATAATAATAATAATAATAATAAGAAATCCAATATGAAATAAAACTGCACTATCCTCCTCCTCTTCATATTTTCCGGCAATGGGGATGAATTATTTGTATATATTAGTATATTAAATAAGATAAATATATATTGTATATATTAGTATATTAAATAAGATTAAATGATGCTATATTATGGCAATTAGTCTCTTGTCTTATATACGGATAGAGCCGTGATGGCTGATTATCTGAAAATAATAGCAATATATAATAATAATAATAATAATAATAATAATAATAAAACAATAAAATAGTAATTTGAAATATTATTGTGCTGGTCACAGACAGTAATCAAGTGTTGTTGTTTGAAATATAATAATAATAATAATAATAATAATAATAAGAAGAAGAAGAAGAAGAAGAAGAAATACAATATGAAATAAAGAAGAAGAAGAAATACAATATGAAATAAAGAAGAAGAAGAAGAAATACAATATGAAATAAAACTGTATGATCCTCCTCCCTTTTGTATTTCCTGGGAATGAGCATAAATTATTTATATATATTAGTATATTAAATAGGATACAATGATGATGATATATTATGGCCATTATTCTCTTGTCTTATATACGGGTAGAGCCGTGACGGCTCACCTTGTGCCTTGAGGATGGCGGCCTTTCCCCTCCCGGCTCCGGAGCCCTGGTTCTTGTTCTTCATGCTCTTGAGCATTGGGGCATTTTTGAGCATGTCTGGAAGGATCAGGAAGCGGATCTTGCTTCCACGGATGTACACCTGCTCCAGCTGCGCCACACGTCCATCACGGTATGTCACTGTGATGTTCGACATCTGGCCACAGAAACAAGAATCATAATACATATATATAACGAGGAATAGCAGGAAGATATTGCCAGATTCTATTGTGTGTTAAAATGCTCCAGATGACTTGTTTTACAATGTTGCTTAAAAACCATTCCAAAAATCAGACATAAATAAAAGCCTAGTAGAAAATGTATTCATTCATACACATTTTTTAAGAAAATATTAACAAATCTTAGTATCACTGTTTGTAATGATAAAAGGCAACAGTTTCCTTGTACTGATTAGAAAGAAAGCAAAATAGCCTTAACTCTTGCTCCCGGTAAAAACTTCATTGTAATTCATGCAATAACTTCACAGTAGTCTTCAAATTAGTGGATTTTTCAGCCTTAGTGGAGTCATTGTCTATTCATTTGTTATACCTTTCCTGCCACCTTGTCCAGAATGGTGAATTGTACGGTTTGATTTTTCATTAAAAAAATCAATCATTCAATAAGAAGAAATATAACAATAAGAAATATATTAATAAATACATCATTATTATTGCCTGAAAATAACAATATACAATAGACATAATATAATAATAATAAATATAATAATGACATCATTATTTTACCTGAAAATAATAATATAGAAATATCACAATAATATAATAATAAATATTATTATTGGAAACCACCATGAGTAGTAAAAGTAGTAATAGTTTTATTACTATTATTAATAAATAGAAAATAATCTAATAAATACATCATTATGATGGCCTGAAAATAATAATATATAATAACTACACTATAATACTATATAACAATAAGTATAATACTAAATACATCATTATTGCCTGAAAATAATAATATAGAATAATAATAATACTGTAACAACAATATAATTATAACAATAATAAATAATAAATACAATAAATGTAACATGATTATTACCTGATAATAATAATAATAATCTTTATATTCCACTTTATCTCCCCGGAGGGACTCAGAACGGATTACAATACTGATATGAGGCAAACATTCAATGCCTTTTTACACACACAGTGAACAACGACATATAAGACAAAGATCAAGGGCTTCCGCCTTTTCCCATCTCCGGCATCTGGAGGTGATACTCAACTGAAGGTGATCTTGTTCCATTTTCCATGCTGAGGAGCCTGTTTTCCATAGACTTCTCTAATTGTATTGCCGGCATGTCTGTTTATCTGCATGGCGTGCCCTTTTCCCTTCCCACTGAGGCGGTACCTATTGATCTACTTGCCTTGCATTCTTTCAAACTGCTAGGTAGGCAGGAGCTAGAGCAGTTGGGAGCTTACCCCGACTCGTGGCTTCAAACAGTTGACTCTCCGGTTAACAGCCTTTCCTGCAGCTAGCAGCTTTAACCACTGTGCTACCACGGTTAATAACAAAATTAATAGCAAAGACATTGTTATTAATACCTGATGTTTAATGTGTTATTATTTAATTTATGGTAGTTTTTTGATTTGTTGGTTGCACCTTACAGCACTGAATGTTTCCCCATTGGGGAGATAGGGAGGGATACAAATAAAGTTTATTACTATTATTACAACTACAACAATAAATATAACAACAACAACAAATATAATAAGCTTACATCTGGATATTATTATTAGTAGTAAGCATATATATATTTAATATTCTTTTATGCCTTTCTCTGTCCACATATATGATCCTGTGCTATTCTTGTCCACTTCGGATAATTTTAATAGAATGTAATATATAATGTAATCTTCTGGTTTCTCTCCTTTAAATGTTTTTAATTTTTATTAATCTAATTAAAATAAGTCCAGTTAAAATGGATTTGTAGTGTCATTTGATTATTTATAATATTCCATGATTGTGTGATGGTGGTGTATTATTTAACTACTGGTTGTTGTCTTTACTGTCGGTCGCCCTTTACAGCATTGAATGTTTGCCGCTCCATGTATCTTGAGAAGCGCTCTGAGTCCCCATTGGGGAGATAGGGTAGGATAGAAATAAAGATTATTCTTCTTATTATAACAACAATAAATATAATAACGATAATATATTATTCGACAATGCAGATAACAATGTTATTATTAAGCCTTTGACAGTACAGATAACAATATATTAATAATAATAATAATAATAATAAATTAATCAATAAGCCATTGATACCTGGCAGTTCATGTTGTCCTCAGCTTCAATGAGCTTCCCGCGGTAGACCTCCCCGGTGTTTGTCTCGCAAGTGACAATGTGTCCCTCAGCCTCATGGAGGACCTTGATGGGGACCCCGATCGACATGATAAGGATGGAGGTGGGTGATGGACAGCTGGCCAGGAGAGAAAACGGAGGGACAGGAAGTGAGCTCACAGGGGCCCCAACAAGGATTAAATCACCACCAACTGGTGGTGCAGTAGGTTAAACCCCGACCGGTCGCAGGTTCAAATCCGGGGAGAGGCGGATGAGCTCCCTTTATCAGCTCCAGCTCCTCATACGGGGACATGAGAGAAGCCTCCCACAAGGATGATAAAAACATCAAATCATCCGGGCATCCCCTGGGCAACGTCCTTGCAGACGGCTAATTCTCTCACACCAGAAGCGACTTGCAGTTTCTCAAGTCACTCCTGACACGACAAAAAGAACAAAACAATAAAATAATATAATCAAGGAAAATATCATAATTATTATAATATAATATAATATAATATAATAAAGCAATATAATATACTCTATAATCACAATAAAGTCCAAAATGTAATAACGTAGAACTCATAATAATATAATCAAAAGAAAATATAAGAATGCAATATAACATCATATATAAGAAAATACAATAATGATTGTAACAAAATCAAAAGAAAATGTAATATACGATATGCTATTACATTGTCTTATTTTATATTAGGTTATTATATAGTATATTCTAGATTATGTATTAGATTCTATTACATTCTAGATTATGATACTCTCTTATATTATATTATGTTACTATATACATACTATATTATATATTCGATCATCTATCGTTATACTACCTTATTTTATAGTATGTTAATATATATATATATTATATTCTAGATTATTACACTTTCTTATGCTATTTTATATGATAATCTTCAATAATAAAGAACAAGCCTTCTCTCGTACGATTTCGGATGTCGCTACAGCGTGAATTCGATCAAAGCCCGGCCTCCCAGCATGCAAAGCGGAAGAGGAGGAAGCGGAAGTGTCGTCCGCTCCAGCGCCACCCCGCGCTCTTTTTTAAATCATAGATTTCCGTGCGGAAGTCTTTTAGCAACGGCTTCCGGTTAATACCGGAAGTCATGACGTTCTATCCTTTCGACCTCTTCAATAGAAAGCTACGGGACTCTATGGTTACGAGCGGTGCGGTCCTTTTTGGGCTCCGGCCGGGAGACCCAAGGGCGGCGACTACAGTTCCGCTTTGTGTTTGCCTCATAAACGAACGGATTCCAATATCGTGCGTCTTGAGATGGTATTTCCATTGGAGTGAAGGTGGTCAAGACATGCGCATGCTCCGTAGGACTCAAAACAACGCCAGGGACGTGGCTTATCGGATAGTGGGCGGGGCAAGGCCTTTTTCGGAAGGGGGCGAGGTTAGGGCCTTCCTTCTCTTGGTCTCAAGGGGCGGGGCTTGATGAGAGGGGGCGTGGCCAAGGCCTTCCAATCCTCTGGCTTTAGACGCAAGGGGCGAGGCTTAGTGATAGAGGCGGAGCTAGGGCCTTGGTCTTACATGCAAGGGGCGGAGCCAGGGCCACAAAGGCAAGGGGCGGGGCTTGGGGACAAAGGGCGGAGCCGGGGCCTTCCTCACCTCTTCAGGCCTGAAATGAGCCGCAAGGGGCGTGGCCAGGGGCGGAGCCCGGCAGGAAGCGAGGAAGGGAGGCTTCCCTTCCTGCCTGCCTGCCTTCAGAGAGCCATGAAGAGCCCCAGAGAAGAGGAGGAGGAGGAGGATGAAGAAGAAGAGGAAGAAGAGGAGGAAGAAGAAGAGGCCCAGACCCCGCCCTCAGGTCGGTGGTGAGCCCCTGAGCATGCGCAGAGGGCACGGTCACTGAGGGCAAAGGGAGGCGGGGGGGGCAAAGACAGGAAGGGTCTCTGAGCAGGAGCAGGGAGTGTTAGCATCCCCCTCATGCTGCTTCTGGCACCGCCACAGTGCTCCTTCACACTATTATTATGCCCCTTTGCACTGTTATCACACTGAATCGTAATTTTCCCTTGCACTTTTATTGTGTCCCATTTGCATTATTATTACACGCGCTTATTTATTTATTTACTGCGCTTATATACCGCAATTCTCAGCCCTTTAAGGGCGACTCATTGCGGTGTACAACATGAAAAAACAAGTGCAAATTACAAAACATAGTGCAAAATAATCCACATCATTATCAGAAAAACATGTTATCAAAACATCCACATTACTACAAAATTTCTACTACATTCCGAATCGTCTCATCGTCAACCCACAATCCAATATCATTTCCGTTTTTCCATTCCTATGGTCAAATTACCAGTCATTGCACTTCTTGGTCAAATGCCTTCTTAAATAGCCAGGTCTTTAACTTCCTGCGGAATATCAACAGGGAGGGGGCTAGCCTGATGTCCACGGGAAGGGTGTTCCACAGCCGAGGAGCCACCACCGAGAAGGCCCTGTCTCTCGTCCCCGCCAGGCGTGCCTGTGACGCAGGCGGGATCGAGAGCAGGGCCTCCCCGGAAGATCTCAAAGTCCTCGTGGGCTCATAGGCCGAAAGGCGGTCAGTCAGGTATCTTACACTACACTACACCAGAGTCAGACATGACTGGACTTAATGTCAGGGGACTACCTTTCCCTTACCTTACACTACTGCAATGCCACTCACGCTGGATCATTGCACCTCCGCACATTATTATTACGCCCCTTCACATTATTGCGATGCTTTTTACACTGGATCGTAATGCCCCTCGCACTGTTATTACACCCCTTGCACTATTGCGATTCTCACACTGGAACATGATGTCTCTTGCACCGTTTAATACGCCCCCTCACACTGTTGCGATGCTTTTATTTATTTATTATTTATTTGCTTTGCTTCTATACCGCTTTTCTCAGCCGAAATGGCGACTCAAAGCGGTTTACATAATACAAGTTATCACAACAATATCAAAAGGCAATTAAAACACATTATACAAAGATACAGATCAAACAATCATTATCCTAGTTGTAACGCCTCAGCAACAAATCAGAATCAGAATCCATAATCATAATCCTTATACCATTTCCTATGTTCGATTGTACCATCTTCCTGTATTCCATTGCACTGTTTAGCCAAATGCTTGTTCGTAAAACCAGGTCTTGACCTTCCTCCGGAACACCAGCAGCGAAGGGGCCTGTCTGATGTCTACAGGTAGGGCAGGTAGGGCATTCCACACTTGATTGTGAGGGGCCCCTCACGCTATTATTGCACCCCTCGCCCTTTTGCAGTGCTTCTCACACTGGCTCATGATGCCCCTCACACTATTATTTTATTTTATTCCGGCCCAATTTACCTGTCCGAACATATCCTCCCCTATGAGCCATCAAGATTACTAAGATCGTCTGGAGGGGCCCTGCTCTCGATCCCACCGGCCTCACAGGCGCGGCTGGTGGGGACGAGAGACAGGGCCTTCTCGGTGGTGGCCCCTCGACTCTGGAACTCCCTTCCACTGGAGATCAGAACTGCCCCTTCGATCTTAACATTCAGGAAACAGGTGAAAACCTAGCTTTGGGGATTGGCATTCAACGAATGAGCCATGATCCTGTGATATGGATGGATGATGACGAATAATGACTTTGATGACGACTGACCACTGTAATCATATGATTGTATTTTTGCTATTTTAATTGTTTTAATGTTTTAGTGTGATTTAGAAATATGATGTTTTGATGACGGTCTGTAATATTGATGTTGGAAACCGGCCCGAGTCCCTCGAATGGAGGTGAGAAGACTGGTATACAAAACTACCAAATAAATAAATAAATAAATAAATAATTTATATATTTCGGACATTTGTATCCCGTCCTATCTCGACCTCCACAGAGGGACTCAGGGCGGCTAACAACCGGCCTATTGTGTCCCACTCGCACTATTATTACACCTGCTTGCAATTCTTCTTGCGCCTGATCATAATTCCCACCCTTGCACTATTATTACGCCCCTCGTGCTGTCGCAATGCTTTTCACTGGATCGTGATACCCCCTTGCACTATTATTACACCCCCTTGCATTATTGTGATGCTTCTTGCACTGGATCATAATGCTCGCAATATTATTATGCCTCCTGCACTAGTGTGATTCTCATATTGAATCATGATGCCCCTCGCACTGTTACGCCCCCCTTGCACTGTTGCTATACTGGATCATGATCCCTCCTCACACTATTATAACACCTCTTGCGTGAACTTAATGCCTGTCACACTATTATAGTGCCCCTTGCATTCGTACAATGTCACTTGCACTGTTATACCTCTCACACAATTGTAACCTCCCTTCTTTGCCCAGTTGTAACCTCCTTTGCACAATTGTCAAGTTCCCTGCATGGCCATAACATCCTTCACACCATCATATAATGCCTCACGCGATTGTAACGTTCCTTATACAACTGTAACCTCTGCTGCACGAGCATAATAACTGGAATGCCATTCACACGACTGTACAATCCATTTGTGTACTGTCACTTGCACAAGTGCGGTTACTAACTGCAAGGTCTCACTGTTCCTGGCATGATTGTAACACCCCCTTGCACAACTGCAATGCCCTTCACACGCTTGCGAACGCCTTTAGCACGGACCTCCCTTCCTGCAGTTTAAAGTTGTTCCTCAGTAGTCCTGAGTGGTTCCCATGAAGTATAAACGCCTTGTGTCTTTTCCCTCACACGACGGGGACATGCTTCGCACGGATATTGCACTGCAGTGGGAATAGTGCAGCTGAACGTTCCAGTCCTCCAGCAGCTCTATCACTGGGACTGCGGCCTGGCCTGCTCCAGGATGGTCCTCAAGTGAGTGCGACAGCCGTCTCATAATTGTGACCTCATTACACATATGCAAATAACACGATGAACGGATATAAGTATTATATTTTATGATGGTATAATTTTAATAGAATAATAATACATTGAAATAACATTATACTTTTATACTATTATAATAATATAATTAAAATAAAATTCAACAATATCCCAATTAAACAATATAATAATATGACAATTATATTATAATAGTAATTTAATAGAATAATGAAATAATATAATATAATTGGTACATTATATTAACAATATAAATATATTACAGTAGAATAGAAAAAGAATATAATGAAAGAATATAATTCTTATCTTACAACAATAATATAATAAAAACAATAATATAATAGTACTATTATACCTAGTATAATTATTAAATTATCATATAATAGTTATATTAATTACAAACTAATATAATATAATGATTTAGTTATTATATTAAAGTACAATGGAATAATAGTATTATTAAAATTGTAGTATAATGATAATATAATAATTACATTATAATATAATAAATATTTATAATAATTATATAATTGTTACATTATATTTATTATATTATATTAATTATTCTATATAATAGTGCCACCAAAATATTTTACAACTTCTTCCTGGCAGGTACCTGAACCTCCTTGATGACGCCGAGTTCCAGAGGGCTGTCCAGGAGCTTGGTTTGACCAAGAGCATCTGGACCATCGACCTGGCTTACCTCATGCGCCACTTTGGGGTCCGGCACCGCTTCTGCACCCAGACCCTTGGGGTGGACAAGGGCTACAAGAACCAGGTACCCTTCCCCTCGGAAGGGGCCAAAGGAGGCCAGTTTCTCCCTAGAAAAGGCCCCAAAGGCAGGTTTCCCCTCAGAAAAGGCCAAAGGAGGCTGTTTTTCCCTCAGAAGAAGCCTCTTCTCCCTCAGAAAAGGCCCAATAAGGCATCTTTTCCCTCAGAAAAGGCCAAAGGAGGCAATTTTCCCTCAGAAAAAGCCCAAAGAGGCTTGCTTTCCCTCAGAAAAGGCCCCAAAATGCTTGTTTTCTCTCAGAAGAGGCTTCTTCTCCCTCAGAAAAGGCCAAAGGAGGCAGGTTTTTCCCCCAGCACAAGCCTCTTTGAGCTGTTCTTCTGTTTGTTCCCATCAGTCCTTCTATAGGAAGCACTTCGACACAGAGGAGAACCGCGTCAACCAGCTTTTTCTTCAGGCCAAAACCTTCAAAGTGCTGGTGGAAAAATGGTGAGTCCCATCCTTTCCAATTGATGAATTGCTAGAGATAACCCATAAATCCAATCACTATTTAAAATAAAACAGGATTACACGAGAACAAAATTTTCCACATGGAGTGTAGACTTTTGGATCTCGAGAAACTTGAGCTTTCTCCAATAAATGAAATATAGCTATTAAAATAAATAAAGTATTGAAATATAAAGTATAGATATTGAAATATAAATATCAGAATAAATAACATATTAAATATGTGAATATTAAAATTAAAATAAATCAAAATATTGGAATAAACTATCAAGTATTAATAAAGATTAAAATAAATAAACATCAATATAAATATTACAATAAAAATATAAAAGATGAAAATAAATAAAATACTAAAAAAATCAAATCCAAATTTGAAAATAAATAAAATATAAAAAACATTAAATATAAATATGAAAATATAGTACAAAATATAAAAATATAAATATAAAATATGAATATAAATAAAATATTAAAATATAAATATAAAATATGAATATATAAAAATATGAATGGAATTCCAGTGTAAAATAAGACTGGCTTAATATGAAAAGGGGCCTCCTGGTTTCAGAGCTTTGACAAGTGCAGGAATCCGTATCCAGGAGACCCCTGGTGTGATATCCTGGAACAAACGGACAAACATTACCAATATGGAGATGGCAGTCATGGAATCTATTTTCCCATCAATCTCTATGGCAGCAGTTCTCAACCTGGGGGTCACAACTCTTAGGGGGGTCGAACAGGCCGTTTGAGAGCCTCCTTTGGCTTCCTCCACTTCCCCAGAATGTCTTGTCAGCCAGCCAGCACGCTGCTTTGCCTTCTTCTCTCTTTCCTCCTCTGGGCCAGCGTGGAGGAGCTCCTCCTCTTCTTCTTCCTCCAGTGGCACATGGAGGTGCTTGGAGGCAGAGGTGAAGCAAAGGGGCGAGCTGGCAAAGCGCCCAGCAAAGGGGCGAACTGGCAAAGTGGCCTGCAAAGGGGCAAGCTAGCGAAGCGTCAAGCAGCTCCAGGAGCCAAGGAGGAAGAGGCGAACACCCCATGAAGGCACCACGGCCACCTTTGCATCTTCCTCCTTGGCTTGCCAGGGCCACTGCCTCACCAGCCGCAGGCCCTGAAGCCAAGGAGGAGGCAAAGCTGGTCTCCTTTGCCCGGACTCCCCAGGGCCTCCTTCTCAGTGGAACTAGCCTTGGCTCTGCTAATGCAGAGCTCCTTTCCTTCTTTCTCTCTCCTTTTTCCTTCTCTCCCCCTTTTCCCTTTTTTTCCCTTCCCTCCTTTCGCTCTTCTTTCTCCCTTTTTCCTCCTCTCCTTTTTCTATCCCTTTCTTTACTTTTTCCCTCCTCCTCCTCCTTTCTCTTCCCTTTTCTCCCCCTTTCCTTCTTTCCCCTTTTCTTTCTCTTGCCTCACTTTCCCTCCATTTCTCCTTTTCTATCCCTTTCCTATCTTTCCACCTTCCTCCTCCTCGTTTCTCTTCCCTTTCGACCCCTTCTCTCCCTCCCTTCTTGTCTCTTCATCTCTCTCTCCCTTTTCTATTGATAGTTCTCTTACTTTTCTCTTTCCTCCTGTCTCCCCCCTTTCTCATCTCACTTTCTTTCTCTCCATTCCTTTTTCTTTCTTTCTGTCACCATCCCTTTTTCCCTTTCTCTTTCCCTTTATTTTATCCAGCCCTTGTCTCTCTCTCACTCCCTTCTCCTTTTCGATCTACTTTTCTTCTTCCCTTTTATTTTTCTGTCTCTTCCCTCACCTTCTCTTGCTTTTTATCTTTCCTCCTCTCCTTCCCTTTTTCTCTTGTGCCCCTTTCTTCCTTCCCTTTATTTCTTGCCTCCTTTTTCTTCCTCTCCTTCCCTTTCTCTCATGCCTCTCTCTCCATTTCTTCCTCCCCTCTCCTCCTTTCCCTTTCTTTTTTTATCTTTCCTTCTTTCTTCCTCTTTTTCCCTTTCTCTTGTGACCCTCTCTCCTTCCTTCACTTTTCCTCCCTTTACAGTTCCTCCCCTTTCTCCCCTATCTTTGTTTCTCAGCCTCAGAGGAAGGAAAGGGGGGGCAAGGGCAACACAATCTGGCCAAGAAAACCCTGATGGTTTTGGCCTAAGATTTCCAAAAGCCAAGTCACATCAGAGCAGCCTCCCTCTAAAGAAGAGGACTTCTCATCCACATCTCTGTTCAAGTCTTTGCAAATTCATCCCTCCTCTTAAGCATATACAGGCAGTCCCCAAGTTACAAACAAGATAGGTTCTGTAGGTTTGTTCTTAAGTTGAATTCGTATGTAAGCCAGAATAGGTACATTTCTTAAGTGTAACTCTAGCCACACACAAACACAAATTTTGAATAGCATAGGTGTTTGTTTTGATGTCTGTGCCTCTGCTCAGAAGATGTCAATTCGTTTTCTGTCCCTGTGAGAATATGATTTTGAGAAAAAAAATGGAAACAATGATTGGAGATAAAACTAAAGTGGAGACACTTTTCCCCTTGATAACCCTTCCCTTCCAAAGGATAGATTCCTCTCCCTTCCTGTTGTTTTAGCCCCGTTCTTAACTAGAAGTCGTTTGTAACTCAGGGATGGCCTGTAGACTGAAGAACAACATCTTCACACAAACGTGGACAGTCCTAAGGAATGGTCGGTCCTGAAGGCTTGCATCCCTTTTCTCTTAGTGCAAGATTGGTAGCTGTTTAAATGTGGATTTGGTGGCCTCCTTTGCAAAAACAAATAGGACCAAAAGGCTCTGGGTTATCAAGTCTAAATACAGGAGTAGACTTGTGAAAGATGATCTACATTGTGCTTTTGCAAAGACTGCCCGGATATTTACATTACGATTCATATTAGCAAAATTACAGTTATGAAGTAGCAACTAAAATAATTTTATGGTTGGGGGTCACAACAACATGAGGAACTGTAATAAGGGGTCGTGACATTAGGAAGGTTGAGAACCACTGCTCTGTGGCTTTCTCCCCTCAAAGCCCATCATGAGGAAGATGAATGCCAAACGTGGCCCAGACCATCAATCCGCGGAGGCACCATCTTGGAACAAACATACAAACATCACCAACACTGAGATGTCACTCTTAGAATCTATTTTCCCATCATCCTCTGTTTGTAGCTTTTTACATTTGTTCCAAGATGGCACATTCATGGATTGATGGAGTGGTGCAACGTTTGGTATACATCTATCTCATGATCCAACTTAGATATTGATGAGCTTTGAGGGGTGGGGGTTGCTCACAGAAGAGATGGGAAAATAGGTTTCAAGATCGCCATCTCCGTGTTGGTGATGTTTTAAAGCTTGATTGATGGACTGGGGCAATATTTGGTATACATCTGCCTCATAGTCCAACTTAAATATTGATGGACTTTGAGGAAGCAAAGCCATATCTGGGAGCCTCCTGGTGTGATATAGTACGGGCTTTGCCAAGTGACTTGCTCATGGCACTTGGGTGTGTGTCTTCTCCCATTCCCCTTCTCTCAGCACGGTGACTATGGGGGAAATTGAGGCACACCTCTCTGGGGGCCACACAGCCATAGTGCTGGTGAATGCGGTGCTGCTGGCATGCGATGTGTGCTCTGGGCCCGTCAAGTTCTGCTGCTTCCTACCCATTGGGCAAAAGTGCTTCTGTCGCCGCCCCGACTACCAGGGCCACTTCGTTGTCCTCTGCGGCTACAACAAGGCCTCTGGGAGCCTCTACTACAACAACCCCGCCTACGCTGACCGTGAGTACATCAACACCTCACTTCCTCTTATTGCTCTCCCTTGTCCGGAATGTTTCTCGATTTTCTTTCCAAAATATTTTGGCAACATTTCCTTCTGACATTCTTTCAATTTTTTCCAGACATTTTTCAATTTTTGTGGTATTTATCCTCCCCCCCCCCCCCCCCCCCAATTTTTCTTTGGGCATTCTTTTCTATTTTTCTGGACATTTGTTTCCAGACATTTTTGTGAACGTTTTTATAAAAATGTTGGGGGACATTTTTTCAGGTTTTTGGACTTTTTTGATTTGTTGAACATGTTTTTCAATTTCTTTTGGATATGGATTTCTTATTCTATGCTCTCAGCAAAGATTCAAGTAGACGTTTTAAAAATAACATTGTTTTACTCACAACTTTATGTATGTAAATATACAGGAACATTTCCTGTCAGGTTAAACTTTAAAACGTTCAGTTTGTATCTTTAATTTATAGTCATTCAAAACTATATTGCTCTGTACAGCTCTTTCATAATAGTCTACTTCCAAAGGGATTCAAGCCTCAAGCGTTTTCTGACTTCCAACACTGGCTTCTGTACTCAACTGACTCAACTGTTATCCTTTTAAACTGCATTCCAAACAGTAACTGAACCAGTCACATAGTCTGCAGCCTCTCCCACTGCCTCAAATACATAGAGCTAAGGAAAACTGCAAACCAAAGAAGACATACACTTCAGGAAATAAACAACACATTATAAACAGACAAGATTTTTTATTATTATTGCGACACCCCCCCCCCCCCCCGCATTTTCCTTTGGACATTTAAAAAATATCAGACATTTTCAGACATGTTAATGAATTTTTGGGGGACTTAAAAAATTGGACATTTTTGTGGTTTTCAAATAATTTTTTTCTAAACATTTTTAATATTTTGTTGGACTTTTTTCTAGTTTGCAGGGACATTTTTTCAGTTTTCTGGACTTTGTTGAATGTGTTTTTCAATTCTTTCAGGTATATTTTTGATTTTGATTTTCAGACAGTTTTCCCATTTTTTCCATACATTTAAAAAAATTGGACTTTTTTGGACATTTTTTTTCCTTTGGACAGTTTTTCAATTTTTTTGCAGACACCCCCCCCCCCCCCCCCCCCATTTTTCCATCTTTTTTTGCCCTTATTTTGGAAATTTTCTCAATTTTTCTGGTCATTTTTCCCAAGACATTTCTGTGAGGAAAAAATTCCCAGACATTTTTTAATATTGTGTCGGCCATTTGTTTTTCTATTTCTGGGGGACATTTTTTGGCCTTTATTTTTGATTTGTTGAAGATGTTTTTCAATTTCTTTTGGATATATTTTTGATTGGATTTTTTAAAACAGTTTTTCCATTTTTTTTTCTGGACACTTGATTGGATTTTGGGAAACCGCTGATTTTCCGAAGATTGTTTCCGATTCTGTTTGGACAGAAGAATTGAGGGATCCATCTCTAGCCATAATTGTTATTGTAGCGATAATTGCCTGGTCCTTTATAATGCAAGCTGTTAATGGCTGTTTCCCGTTCCTGCATAGGGACATGCTGCACCAGTGTGGGCAACTTTGAGGAGGCCCGGACCAGCTATGGAACAGACGAGGATATCCTTTTCGTCTACAGAGGCAGCTGACACAACGCCCCTCCACTTTGCCCCGTTTCTGGTGCTTTCTCTTCTCAGGACGCTCCTCGCACTCATCTTTCCCTCGTGCAACACCAGGATCCACAAAACAAGGAAGGCTTAGAAACAACATACATTGCTTTTAGAAAAAGAAGCAAGAATCGTACCACTGTCTTGAACGCCCAGATTGATCAATAGATAGATAGACTCATTAAAATGGGATCAGCACTCCATCGGAATGTTCCAGAAACACATTTCCCGCCAAAAATGAGGAGAAAGATGAGGTTCTGAGTGTGAATGTTTGTGAAAAAAATGGGAAAATGTTATTATTTTTGTGTGAAAATTTTGGGACAAATTGATTGATGAGAGAATATTGCTTTTTTAGAAATTAAATCAATTTATTTAGAAAATTATCTGATTGCTTTTATGATATTGTTCAAAATCAAGTCTTCAAAATGAATCGATCAATTAGAGAGTTATCCTATTGCTTTTTTTGTAGCATCACACACACATTTTGCAGCTCCACCGAATGGCGATTTTAGCTCCATAGAATTGCAAATTATTTTATATTATATTATTTTTATTCAACGGGCAATGAATTCACTTGCTTGCATACAATGTCAGGAATATTTTGTAAACTGTTGACAAATGAAAGTCACTGAATTGATTTTTGGAGGTAAAAACCTGAATTAATTTTCAAAGGAAAAAATGAATTAATTTCCAAAGCGAAACAAATCTCAATTAATCTGAATTTCTGAAGGAAAATAAAATTTCGAAGGAAAAAAATGAATTAATTTGAAGGAAATTGTCTGAATTAATTTTTGAAGGAAAAAATTTATTTTCGAAGGAACCTGTCCGAATTAGGAAACTGTTGGCATTAATTTATTAATGTATCTTATAGTGGAGATAGTTGATCCAAACGATTGGAGAAGTTCTTCCATTGAGAATAAAAATGAATGAATATTGTTCCATTTGGAGAAATAATATTTTCTCGATAATTGATAACTTTAATATTAACAATAAAACATTATTCTGTTTGTTTAAAAGAAGTGTGAAATTTGGTATGAATGGAAGCCGTTCTTTCATTATTATTATTATTTGTGGAGGAAAAAAACATCCTGAAGCCATAACGATCCTGTTTTCAATGGAATATTCCGGAAGAAACGGGAAAAAGGGATTATTTTACAAGCAGACAACATTTTATACAGAGGAGAAAATATATATTTTGTTTGTTAAGTCGCTGTTGATAATAATGAAAAAATAATAAAAGGTTTTAAGTTGTTTTTAATGCAATCAATTGCAGTTGTTTTCGGGGGGTTTTGTGGGATTTTTTTCCAGATCAAAAATAAATACATAGAAAGAAATGGTTCCCAGTAATTAATATTTAATTATTTCCAAACAATTCCAATTAGTCATACAGTTTTCTTCCTAGAATGTTTATATTTTAACATATTTTAAAATATACATAGATATTGTCCAATGTTTGAATTTAATATCAATTATAATCAAAATAAGCGCTAAACATAACGAGTCTTTAAATTGCAAATGAATCAGTGTATTGTAATTAGTATAATTATTATTATAATCTTTTTGAAAATAATTGTAATTAATGTCATGGTATCATTGGAATTTTAATCAAATTACATCATGATTATTATAATTATTATAGTTCTTTTGGTAAATAATTATAATTAATAATAATAATAATGTTATTTAATTTAGTTTCACCAGTAAGTTTTCTTTATGCAATTGTCACTATTAATATTATTAATATTGTAATCAGTCTCATTACAACTACTAATATTAATGCTAATAATGTTATTATATTATATCTCTTATCATTAGATAGTATGTTATTTTACCACTTTTAAACACAATCAGAAATAATTTTAAATTTCTAATGTGATTACAATTAAGAATATTAATATTATTCTTATATTTTATCTCAAGAATACATTTTTCAAGAGGGAAAAAAAGGAAAATTTCAATATAGTTTCCCATTTTGAGATGCTTTTTCATCAGAAGGAAAAATTTTTTTTGATAATATTCATTATTTTTAAATATTATTATTATTAACTAACAATATTCATTCTTTGATAATATTGGGAACAAAACCAGGACGAACGTATTCGGCCAGCTTTTTAGCGTACATTTCGTACCTTCCGGTCATCTACAAAAATAAACAAAATATATCTTGTTTATAATGGAATATTTGGAATAGTTTTCCCTCTTTGGATTACATTTCCCATCATCCCTTAGTAATCACTGCCCATCAAAGGCCATCAATTTTTAAGTTGGATCATGAGGAATATTTAATACAAATGTCATCCCAATCTATCAATCCATTGAGGCGCCATCTTGGAACAAACTTACAAACCTTGCCAACATGGAGATGACTATCTTGGAATGTATTTTCCCATCATTCTCTATGAATTACTTCCCTCATAACACATCAATATTTAAGTTGGATTATGAAGAATGTTTATACCATATGTGGTCCCGATCCGTCAATCCACAGAGGAGCCATCTTGGAACAAACTTACAAATATTACCATCTTGGAACATATTTTTACTTCATTTCTCATTCCCTATGAATTAATCTTCCATCAAATTCCATCGGTATTTTAAGTTGGATCATGGAGAGTCTATATACTACCACCCTCTTTGGTGGAATTCATGCTGGTCTCTGAATACATTTTGACTCCATTTCCCATCAGCCCCTATGGGTTAACCCCCCTCAATATTAAGTTGTATCATAAAAAAATATTTATAACCAAGTTTGGGCCCAATCCAATCCATGGAGGCACCATCTTGGAACAAACATACAAACATCACCAACACAGAGATGTCCATCTTGGAACCTATTTTCCCATCATCCTCTGTATGTTTGTTCCAAGATGGCGCCTCCACGGATTGATGGACTGGGAGGACATTTAGTATACATCTTCCTCATGATCCAACTTAGATATTGATGAGCTTTGAAGGGGGAAACCCATAGAAGATGATGGGAAAATAGGTTCCAAGGTGGACATCTCTGTGTTGGTAATGTTTGTCCGTTTGTTCAAATCATACATATTTTCTCATCATGCTCTATGAGTTATACCCCTCAAAGCCCATCAATATCTAAGTTGGATTATGAGGAAGCTGTATACCAAACGATGGCCCAGTCCATCAATCTGTGGAGGTGCCATCTTGGAATACACACAAAAAATACCTTGAAATTCCACTTGTCAGCCACTTGTCTGCAGAGATTGAGGTCAACTTCCACAACAAGGAGGCCATCTTGGGTCTGGGAAAGGCCCGGAGTTCGGCTCCCATCCGGAGCGGAGACGTAGCTGGAGCCATAGAAATACCCAAAATCCCGATGGGCTTACAGAAACAGGAAATTAAATAAGTCATTTGTTTCAATAGGAGTTTGAGATATATAGATAGAAAGGTATTTTAAAATTATAAATATTTATTTTTAAACATAAAAATGTATATATATGTATATGTGTATATGTATTCTGTATGTATATATATACATATATATATGTAAAAAATTATATATATATATATATATATATTCACAAGAAATGACACACACACACAGATATATATATAACAGGAAATATATTTTATTTTAATTATATTTTCTTCAAAATATAAATATGTGTGTATGTATGTATGTGTGTGTGTGTGTGTGTGTGTATATATATATATATATATATATATATATATATATATATATATATAGGAGCCCCGGTGCAGTGGGTTAAAGCCTTGTCCTGGCAGGACTGAAGACCGACAGGTCGCAGGTTCGAATCCGGGGAGAGGCGGATGAGCTCCCTCTATCAGCTCCAGCTCCTCATGCGGGACATGAGAGAAGCCTCCCACAAGGATGATAAAAACATCAAAAATCATCCAGGCGTCCCCTGGGCAACGTCCTTGCAGACAGCCAATTCTCTCACACCAGGAGTCACTCCCGACACGATTATATATATATATATAAAATATATATCTATTAAAGGAAATATATGTGTGTATATCTCTATATCCTGTAAATATATGTATGTGTGTGTTAAAAGAAACGTTTATATTTAGATTTTTACAAGAAATACCCCCCTCTCTCTCTATATATTTATATATATATATATATTAAAGGATATATAGTACGTATATCTCTATATCTTTTATATATATATATATATATATATATATATATATATATATATATAATATGAAAACAGCAATAGATATTTCTGTATATATTTATAAAATGTAAATATGTCTAAATAGCTATTTGGAAAGAAATATATTTCCATATGTGTGTGTGTGTATAGTGTGTATATCTCTATATCCTGAATATATATATATATATATATTCAGGATATAGAGATATACACACTATACCCACACATATGGAAATATATTTCTTTCCAAATAGCTATTTAGATATATTTACATTTTATAAATATATACAGAAATATCTATTGCTATGTTTTCATTTCTTTTCAAATGTATATTTCTTATAAAATATAAATAGGTAGATACACATATATATACTGTAAATATATATACATATTTTTATTTGTAATATATATTTCATTTAAAATATAACTCCATATATATTCTGTAAATATATATATATACAAATAGATATTGTAGTAGAAATTTTAAATACACATATATATATACATTAGATGAATTCTAAATATATATACATATAAATATAGTACAAGATATATTTCTTTTAAAATATGTATTTCTTATAAATATGATTATATGAATATATTGAATATAGATTACTTATATTGTATTATATTATATATCTTTATATTAAAAAGGGACATACCGGGTTCACCGTCTCCAGACGTGAAAGGATTTGGAAAAAGCTCCTAGGGTTGAAAAACAGAGAAAACTAAGAATAATAACAATAATAGGAAAGAAACAGAAAAATATCAAAGTGAACATAAGGTGGGAATATTGGATTTTGATTGCCAGTTTAAGGGCTTACGGTTGGAATATGTATTAGGCCTGCTCGGAAACCTCCCTTTCCAATTTTGAATGTATATTTATATCTTACTTACTTAGGCGATTCCTCGTTGGACAAGTAAGATGGCCTTCCATGATGGGTTTCCTTGTGGATTCGTAGGTGGCTGTGGAGCCCTATTCTTGACCCGCATCTTCTCCCATAGTGAAGGCATTGGTTTCCAGGTGGAAGGTGGTCCCGGTCGGGGTTGGCTTGACGCGCCTTCCTCCTGGCACGTTTCTCTCTTTCACCCTCCACTCGTGCCTCCTCGAATTCTGCAGCACTGCTGGTCACAGCTGACCTCCAGCTGGAGCGCGCAAGGGCCAGGGCTTCCCAGTTCTCAGTGTCTATGCCAGAGTTTTTAAGGTTGGCTTTGAGCCCATCTTTAAATCTCTTTTCCTGCCCACCAACATTCCGTTTTCCATTCTTGAGTTCAGAGTAGAGCAACTGCTTTGGGAGACGGTGGTCAGGCATCCAGACAATGTGGCCGGCCCAGCGGAGTTGATGGCAGAGGACCATTGCTTCAATGCTGGTGGTCTTTGCTTCTTCCAGCACGCTGACGTTTGTCCGCTTGTCTTCCCAAGAGATTTGCAGGATTTTCCGGAGGCAGCGCTGATGGAATCGTTCCAGGAGTTGCATGTGACGTCTGTAGACAGTCCACGTTTCGCAGGCATATAGCAGGGTTGGGAGGACAATAGCTTTATAGACAAGCACCTTGGTATCCCTACGGATGTCCCGGTCCTCAAACACTCTCTGCTTCATTTGGAAAAATGCTGCACTTGCAGAGCTCAGGCGGTGTTGTATTTCGGTGTCGATGTTGACTTTGGTGGAGAGGTGGCTGCCAATGTAGCGGAAATGGTCAACATTTCTAATGTTACACCATTAAGCTGTATCTCTGGCATTGGGGAGGGGGTGGCTGGTGACTGCTGGAACAGCATTTTGGTTTTCTCGATGTTCAGTGACAAGCCAAGCTTTGTGTATGCTTCTGTGAAGGTGTTTAGAGTGGCTTGTAGATCTTCTTCTGAATGCGCACAGACGACATACTGGAGTTCTACATCAGATGTTGTAACCTTGGTTTTAGCTTTCAGTCTGCTGAGGTTAAACAGCTTGCCATCTGTCCGGACGGACGGACAGATTTATATCTATCCATGTATGTATGTATGTATGTATGTATGTATATACACACACACACACACACACACACACACACACACACACTTACTTTTATGTAATATGTGTGTGTGTATAAATGTAAATGTTTTATATATTAAATATTATATAGTTATATATATAAAGGGAGCCCCCGGTGGCGCAGTGGGTTAAAGCACTGAGCTGCTGAGCTTGTTGATCGAAAGTCGCTGGTTCGAATCCGGGGAGCGGCGTGAGCTTCCGCTGTCAGCCCTAGCTTCTGCCAACCTAGCAGTTCGAAAACATGCAAATGTGAGTAGATCAATAGGTACCGCTCCGGCGCTCCATGCAGTCATGCCGGCCACATGACCTTGGAGGTGTCTACGGACAACGCTGGCTCTGCGGCTTAGAAATGGAGATGAGCACCACACCCCAGAGTTGGACACGACTGGACTTAAGGTCAGGGGACTACCTTTACCTTTACCTTATATATATAAAACTAGCTGTGCCCTGGCCAAGTGTTTCTGTGGCCCTCAGAAAACAGGAATTCCTTTCCTTTCCTTTCTTTTCCCTTCCTCCCTCCCTCCCTCCCTCCTCTCCTTCCTTTCCTTGAGTGCCATGAAAGGAAAGGAAAGGAAAGGAAAGAAGGATGGAAAGCTGTGCCCTCCTTTTTAACTTCGTGGAAGGGTTGGGCCATAATAGCAAAATCTGAAATCCAAATCCTGCAGAAGCCTATTGTGCCAAGGAGTTCTTAAACCTGTCGTCTGGTGTAGGTATAGGGATTTGTCGCACTGGGGCAAAACAGTAGTCTCTGGGTGGGATGGCCTGGAATTTCTCCAAAATAACCTCCTTCTGCTCCTTGGCTGCATTGCTCTTTTTTGACCTGCTGGGGCCTCCCGGTTGGTACTGATCTTGACGTCCAACAGTTTCTGATACTCAGGCAGTTGCTGGTGCATGAATTGCACTCGCATCTTCTTAGCCTCCTGCTCCAGGTCCAGCCTGAGCAACTCCTCTGCCTCTTGTTCTGCCTGTTCTTTGCTCTTCTGGATCTCCTCAGCACTCTGCTTGATCCTGTTGAGCTCCAGCTCCAAATCAGTCTTGTCCAGGGAGGTGTCAGATATCTCAGTTCCAAGCTGTGTAGCTCTAGAGGAGTTTTCTAAGAAGGATCACGCAGAGAAGCACAAATGGTGTAGATATCAACCTGTGTATTGTTCAGAATACTACAGCCTCGGACTACTGGCCTTCTATATAGTCCTAACTATATCATAAATCACCCACTCAAGAATCCTGACACCTGGAGGTTGCCCCTTGCTTATTCCAGAGTCCAGTTCTCACCCCACCTTTGGGCAATTGAGTTTTATGGCTGGTTCATATGTCCTGTACTCCCTTTTGGCTCAATGACCCATGGTCATGTGCTTTGTGTCAGTTGTATTGCATGGGCTAGCAATCATGACAGGAGGCGTTTCAAAGTTTACCTTGAGGATGCATATCTCCTCCTCCACTAGGCTCTTCTGCAACTCGTTCTCAGAGGACTTCCTTCAGCTACTCAATCTTCTCCTCAATGTCCTGCTTTTGCTAGGTGGCCTGCTTTGTGCTGTGCCAACTGCAGCTCTGCCTGCAGACAGGAGGCCTCCCATGTTTTCTGTTTTAGACTTTATTTTTCAAAATGCTGGGCTAGGTCTGTGGCCTTGCCAGGCTTCCTGTTGCTGCTCCCAAAGCACTTCTATCTTCTCTTCTGATCTGCTTTGTGTTCCATGTTCACTTTCAACTTTGGTAGCAAGGAGAGGTTCTCCTGGTGACACTGTCCCCTTTCTATTAGAGTGCTCGCAGGCGGGCATCCTCTTTGGCCAGCCTGAACTTCTCGTGCAGGGTCTAGCCTTGGCCTCCTTCAGGCTGGCTGTAACCATGTCACATGCTTGAGACAAGCTGTAAGGTTTCAATTGTCCTTTTCAGGGGAACCACTATCAGTGTCATTTGGGCCTAGCTGTAGGATTCTTTTGGGACCTTAGGAGCCTTAATGCAGATGCCCCTAGTGGAAGGGGGCTGGATAGAATCAAATGACCCGTGCTTTAGATAAAGCAAAATAAAATATAATACATTAAACTGCTTAATGGTGTAACATTAGAAAATGTTGACCATTTCCGCTACCTTGGCAGCCACCTCTTCACAAAAGTCAACATTAACACTGAAATACAACACCGCCTGAGCTCTGCGAGTGCAGCTTTTTTCCGACTGAAGCAGAGAGTGTTTGAGGACCAGGACATCCGTAGGGATACCAAGGTGCTTGTTTATAAAGCTATTGTCCTCCCAAACCTGTTATACACCTGCGAGATGTGGACAGTCTACAGATATCACATGCAACTCCTGGAACGATTCCATCAGCGCTGCCTCCGGAAAATCCTGCAAATCTCTTGGGAAGACAAGCGGACAAATGTCAGTGTGCTGGAAGAAGCAAAGACCACCAGCATTGAAACGATAGTCCTCCACCATCAATTCTGCTGGACTGGCCACACTGTCCGGATGCCCGACCACCATCTCCCAAAGCAGTTGCTCTACTCCGAACTCAAGAACGGAAAACGGAATGTTGGAGGACAGGAAAAGAGATTTAAAGATGGGCTCAAAGCTAAACTTAAAAACTCTGGAATAGACACTGAGTACTGGGAAGCCCTGGCCCTTGAGCGCTCCAGCTGGAGGTCAGCTGTGATCAGCAGTGCTGTAGAATTTGAAGAGGCACAAATGGAGGGCAAAAGAGAGAAACGTGCCAAGAGGAAGGCGCATCAAGCCAACCCCGACCGGGACCGCCTTCCACCTAGAAACCGGTGCCCTCACTGCAGAGGCGGCCCTAGGTAATTTTCAAAGGTAAGCAAACAGTATTTTGGCGCTCCCCCCCCCCCCAACCAATCATTGATATATATATTTTCTGTTTGTCGTGGGAGTTCTGTGTGACACGTTTGGTTCAATTCCATCATTGGTGGAGTTCAGAATGCTCTTTGATTGTAGGTGAACTATACATCCCAGTAACTACACTTGCCGCACTTGCTCCCTTGCCTGGCCCGCTTTGGGTCTGGACGCGTTCCTGAAGACCCCGGCGTGTGCACCAAAAGTCACCTCTTCTCCTGACTTTCTCCTCAGCCATTGGGATCAAGAGAGAGAGAGAGAGAGAGAGAGAGAGAGGTGGAGATGCCCACCTTTCCTGAAGGTAGGCAAAACAAAGGAGGGAGCGGAGGTGGGAGATACCTCCAGCCGGAGGGGCTCTCTATCTCTCTCTCTCTTGGTCCCAATGGCTGAAAAGAAAGTCAGAAGAGGCAACTTTTGGTGCGCATGCTGGAGTCTTCAGACACGCCTCTGGACCTGAAGCGGGCCAGACGCGGCAGCTCCGCCCCTTGGCCCACCCGCGGATTGGGGAGAGGAGAGGAGGTGGGTGGAGCGCCGGGGGATCGGGAAAGGGAGCCGGTCATGGGGAAGGGATCAAACGCAGAGAACGATTGAGCGCCTGGCTCTGCTCGCGCACCCGGTGGCCGGGTGGAGCAGGAACGAGAGGGGCTAGGCGAGGCTCAAGGGCCCGGCCCCTTTGGGAAGAGGATCGCCCGGCAGCGAGGCAAGAAAGCCGAGGCTCCCCCCGGACTGCTAGGGCTGTTGTGAGCTGAGGGGGCGCTCCTCAAGTGGCGGTCAAGGGGCATTTACAGAGGCGCCTCTGCACCCCTGGCAAAAAAAAGTGTTTTGCGACCGCTTACTTTG